TTAATCGATTGACAGCACTAGTGTTTATAAGTCCTGTTGGTCGAGAGGATAATGCATTTAAAACAATCAACGCTTGATGCTTTTTACCACCACAGATTTTCAGCTAGGCTTCTCTGAAGATGCAGAGGAATTTCACCAGTTACCTGCAACATTTCCACACACATCTTGGTGCTTTAAAGTACCTCTTACAGATTTCTAGTGTTTGAACGTTTTTGCAACTATTATACTTTTCAGATCATCATACCTTTTATAATGGCAGCATAAACACAAAAACACAGTTTTCAGATGTTGATTTCATTAAGAGAAAATAAACGATCCAAACCGACCTTCACCATTGTCATAAATGTTAAATTATAATTTCATACTTCAGTTTCCCTTTTCCACACTAGAGCTTGTTATTGGGTAGAATATAAAACTAATAAAGAGCTTCAAAGGAAGATCTCTGACAACACAAAGCAGCACATCATTCCTAAATCTATAGTTATTTACAACTGAGAAAATTAGCCATTGACATGGAGTTAGGAAAGGCAATGGGATTCCAGTGAATCAAAGTGCGAGTCGGCATCTAACAGGAGAAAATGTGAAAAAGTGGCAAATCATCCCATGATTTCATGAATGATCAAAAAAGTCTAAATTTCTCATCAACAACTTTTTTTGAAGAGCCCAGGACGACATCTAAAAAAAAATAAGGACCTAATTGGCATTATCTAAATAAACTGATTTAATTATTGAGACATTAGTGGCACTATGGGGGCCTGAAGCTGAATTACTCTACACTACAACTTTTTAAAACCTTTTTTTTTGTTAATTTTGAGTTTAATATCTTATTTTGGGGGAAATACAATGTTACTAAATGCAATGTTTTTTTTATTTTTAAATATGGCAGAGTTGGTCCTCCATATACCTGCAGCATATTGTGGAGAAGCTTAAAACTACTTTAAACATGAGTATTTCTTTTAATTACAAACACAACACCAGTACAGTGTCAGGCTTATATATATCACTCTTAAATCTGTCAGAGGTCCAGTCAGGTTTAGGAAACATTAGACACAAAAAAGTTGCCGCAAAAAATACATCCTTAAAAGTCCATGTCCCAACCAGAAAGCTCATCAGGAGGACTGTCCTCATCTGGAGGATACTTGTCGAAGTAAGTGTGGTCAGTCGGTCCGCTGAGCTAAAGAGGGGATCAGAAAGGCAATAGAAAAAGCGGTCAGAATTGTCTTTCTTTGTATAACATCTGAATTCCTGAGATATGCAAGATGAAATAACAGCCTATATTAAACACAAAATAAAAATTGGTAGTTTATTAGAATGTTGTAATTCTGATACTTAGTAAAACATTATCTTTTTCAACATGTTGTATATATTGGTGGAGGCAAACCTAATGTAGTCATTTCTCAGACTGCATGTAAGAGCAGACAAACCTGTAAATCTTTTTTAGTTCTTTTGAACACAGGATTCTGAAATACATCCCTGCAGCAATACATTGATTAGTTTTAGCTTCTAAATTATAGTACCGTTTTAAGACCACCCCAGAGTTATGATCCCCTTCACTCTTTTCACATCAAAGCTGTTTATGCTCAGATATTGTTACGAGTTAACCAATGAGCTTGTCAGTAAAACAAAAGATAAAGCTTATAGTTGGAGTGGCTCAGGTTATCCTGAGCTTTCTCTAAAGTTATGCTGCTATAGGCTTAAACTGCTGGAGGACATAGGGACCCCTTTTCATCATTCTGTTTCATTCTATCTCTATTCTTCCACTCTGCAGTATTTTATTCTCACATTTTGCTCTCTCTGCTTTTTCTCATCATTATAGCTTCATTTGTCTGTTTCTATCTATCTAGCTGTGAAACCATCCTGGATAGAAATAATAGCTGGGCTGCTGCCATCAATACCTTTGGTTATAGATTACAAGAGCTGGGACTGTTTTAGTGTTTAGTCCTGTTTCTCCCCAAGACAGCGCTATAGACTTAGATTTAACAGTGAAAACTGTCTCACAGCTCATCAGCTCAACTTCTTTCAGAGACACCTGTGCTGCTAGTTTACCGTTTTCTACCTATTCTAACAAAGAAAGTATTCATAGATCAGTGTTTCTATGTTCCTTATGTGTGTCTGCTTTTGTCTCCTTGAACCCCATTCGGCTTCGACAGAAGGGCGCTCACAATGAGCCTGGTCCTGCTGGAGGTTTCTTCCTGTTAAAAGGGAATATTCCCCTTCTGATATCGCAGAGTAAAGCAGTTTTGTTTTTTTTATATTGCATATTTACTCAGTGGGTTCTTAATACACACTGGCATCAAAAATTGTTTCAGTTTGCCCTAAACTAAGAAATAAAGACTCCCTATTTGCTCTAAGATCCTTCTAAAGTTAGGCAGTATTATTTTTAGATTAAGATAATTATAATATAATTATATAGTATACAATTATACAAAGAAGATCTCAGACCATCTCTACAAACACTACTACAACATCCATGTTTGGATCAAATCCAAACTTACATCTCTCTTTAGTGGGGACTGTAACGTCCTCGCCTTTAGCCCGTCCCAGTTGAATCCATTAAACCACCTTGAGACAAAAAATAAATTAAAAAAAGGTCAGAGACCCAGAGTGGCAGTCTGTGGGAGTGGGGCTCGAACTCAGAACCTTAGGGTTCCAAGCTTTTTGCCCTAACCACTAGGCTGCCACTCCCCACATCATAAAGGAAGTAAAACTTTATGAGCATTTTTACATATTTTATTGCATCTGCTTTTGTTTTCAACAATAACATAAAGTGAGTAAGAAATTATTAGACCAAATTATTATTTACACCAAAGAACAAGTAAGTAATCATAAACTTCGGGCCTATACATGGATACTGTTTCCTTTTTGCACCAAATTTAGTGTGTTTTTCTTCTTACCTGTGTTTCTTGATATCAGTTATTCCATTTTTAAGGTTCCCTAGTCGCTCTGCAGGGTTCCTCCTGTAATGTAATTTAAAGCCACAGCAAATGAACTCCCTTTTTAGCTAAAAGAATCGCTAAGTTCAGCCACATCTCCTGATCATAAACCTCCTTTTTCTGTGGGATAACCACCACTGTTCCGACCCAGGGAAGAAAAACTGAATAATTAACCTTTCCTACCTGCACAGCTTTCGAATGAGGTCCTCAGGTCTTCTGGTGATCTTCTTTGGAAAGTCCATCTTCTCTATTCCTTTCAGTATGAATGTATATGTCATCATCTGGTCACTTCCTGAGAATGGAGGACTATAGTGTTCCCCAAAAATAGATCAATAATTGTTTCTGCAGTTTTCAACAAACAGAAGTTTTATTGAAGATTATTAATGAACACCTGCACTGACCTGCCAGTTAGAAGCTCAAACACCAGGATACCAAGGGCCCAGAAGTCCACACTAAAGTTGTGGCCCTTGTTGAGGATGATTTCAGGGGCCACATACTCAGGGGTGCCACAGAAAGTCCAGGTCTTCTGGCCGGATCTGATCTTTTTTGCAAAACCAAAGTCAACCTGGGAAGGAAAGGATCATCAGTGAGTTTTAACTTTATTTAATTAGTCTTTAGGACAAAAACATCTTAATTTAGATGAGGAGATAAGAAAAATCCTTTGAAACTTTCAAAAGTCTCAGAAATGATCACATACTTTTAGTTTGGGGACACAAATGCTTTCTGTTAAACATTTTCCTGTTTAAACCTAAAGCAACGGATGAAATTTACTTTACAGATTTTTACAACCTTTACTACAACTTTTGTTCCTTTTTATTCATATGACCATGAGCAGCTAACTTTATCATCAAGTCATTAAAATTTACAACTATTCTTTAAACTAAGTTTTCATACCCCTTGCCTTTTTTTTATTTATTAACACCACCCAAAACTCAGATGTATTTTTATTGGAATTTTATGTAGTAGACGATACAAAGTGAGTCATATGTTTGTCTTCAGTAAAGATATTAAACTGATTTTTGGCTTGACTTTGACTACGCCATTCAAATAATTTTGAATGGTTGGTGAACCAGGTCCCAGTCTTCAAGATTTTTTTTTTTTGTATTTAACTCCATCCATACTTACATCCACTTTGGTGATTTCCCTGCCCTTGCACAAGCAAATTTGGGCCAACTTTAGGGATGGTGTGTTCAAGGTGATCAACATTCTAAGTTTCCTGCACATAAATGTATGCAGGCCAGAGAGCTGACCGCGGGTCTGATCTGATCAGAGCAGCATTGTTCACGTTTTCATTGCCCATTAAAGGACTTAAAGCAAACACCAAATAGGCCTTCTTATGGTTGTCTTTCAACAGTCTTCTTCCCACTCTCACACAAAGAAACCAATCCTCTCCATTCAGATTAATACAGCCAAGCCTGCTAGGTTGGTGGATAAACATGTCTTGAGCTGTGCTTAATGAGCATTAAAATGGATATGTATTATTTTAAGCTTTTTACTTAGGAAACCGACCAAAGAGAAAGTGAATCTCAGAAAAATAAATCACAATTTACCAGTTTGATGTATCCCTCTGAGTCAAGCATTAGATTCTCAGGCTTTAAATCTCTGTAGAGGACACCTTTACGATGAAGATACTCAAACGCCTCGGTCACACAACCGACACAGAATTTGGCAGTGGGCTCATCGAAGCTCCCCCTAAAGACAAGGAAGCTAAGGTTAAAAAACAGATACTTTTTCTTCCGATATTTTAGGTTGAATTTGAACAGAACAAAAAATGGTTTTAAAGAGGCAATTTATAAGAAAGGTGTGGCTCGTTCACCTGTCTCTGAGGAGACTCCAAATCTCTCCACCTAAACAGGCCTCTAGAAGCATGTACACGTATTTGTTATCCCTGAAAGTGCGATACAGCCTGGAGAAATAAAAACGAGGATGTTTAAGCTTCATAGAAAACAAAAGTCCCCTACTTTTTTAATTTCTGAGCTTTAATTAAAAATATTTGCTTTAACTCATTCAACTTACTAACACAATTGGTGAATTCATTCCAGAATTGATGATAGTAACTATTAGTTGAAGAAAATAAATGTTTTGACTACAAACATTTAGCTACAGTATGTTCCAGCTCGATAAATGACCCCTTTTAAAATAACCAAATACAAAAAAACACAAACATTTTAATTAAAGATTATAAAAACATGTTGTAAAGTTTTTAATCAAACAGTAGGCAGATAAAAGCCCAGTTCCAATATATCATGATGATTCTGTTCATTTTCTCAACAGACCTCATATTATTTGCCTTTCCAAACCACAGAAAAATATGTAATCTGCTCTGGGCCTCGACTATCATCTCATCAAAAACTAATCAGAGCGGGACTGTTTTCCCAGATTGATGGAGCACAGTTTCCGCATGGAAGATAAAATGGCTTTGCAGGCCGAGTGGGAACACTGACTTGACAATAAAAGAGGAGCGAGCTTCGGCGAGGATTCTCCTCTCGGAGTGGATGTGTTCTTCCTGCCTGTTTTCCACAACATGCTTCTTTTTGATCATCTTCAGTGCAAAGGTCATGTCCTCCCCCTTCACCTTCACCTACACATGATTGTTAAAGAGTAAAATACCACATTAGAGCTCATTCCTTTTCCAAAACTGAAGAATTAATAATAAAAGAAAGATTTTCCCTGAAGTCAAACAAGCACCGTCTGTCCCATGTAAAGATCAACTTTTTCTCTATAGATGCTCTATCTTCATTGCCCTTTTCGGACAGGTAAGATTAATAGAATCTTAATATTCTATACCTTTTAAAAATTCCAATGTGATTCTGTGTTACCAAGAAGACTTTAACCCTTTAATGATTTTATTTTGACAAAAAAGAATATCATTACACAAACTAATATGTAGCCTGGGTGTTTTTACAGCATACAGAGCTTAGGCTATGGATTTAGCTGCTTTGTTTGAAATACATTATCAAATATAATCTTTTCAACAAACTAATGTCAAACCCTGTGTGCATCTTTTGTATTTTAAAAAGAATCATTTAACTTCATAGATCGGAGTCAAATAAATATGAAAATAAAAAATATATATTTGAAAGTGATTTGTTTAGGTTTTGTTTATGAGTAAGAGTTTGAGCGCTTTTTTTTATTATTAAAATAACAAATTAGAAGTTTTGATAATGAGGCTTCATCACATTGATACAATTATAAAATGTCTTGCTACAATATAGCAGTAAATATTGTTATTAAATTATGCAGCCATGATTATGACTGTTGCAAGTTGCGTTGTATTCATAACCAGGCCAGGCCTTCTGTCAAAACATATATGAAAGAACAACTAGTTTAGTTTAGTTTAGCTTAGTTTAATTTACTTTAATTTAGTTCAGTTCATATCCTGCCTGTGTAAAAAGTCTGCTATCCTTAATGTAAAACTGCATTAACAGCAGTCAAAAGGAAAACTAATAAAATTGCACATCAAGGACGACTCCAGACTTTCTGTAACTTTGCCCACAATCAGATCAGCTCAGAGCTTACCAGTTCAACGCGTCCAAACCCGCCAACCCCCAGAGTAGAAATGACTTCAAGGTGATCAAAGGGCCTGGATGAAGAGAATACTGACACCATTTCCTTCAGCTGGACGAAATCAGGAGACAGCGGCTGACTCTGGTGTCGGGAAACAGACTTCCTGGATAAATAACCCAGAGAGGGAATAGGGCTGCTTTTAATCAAAAGTGTAAGAATAATCCAAATTATGAAAAATAAAGCCTCCTGTTTTATTCACCTCTTTAATGTTTACATTTGTTTTCCTTTGGTTAGTTGGCCTAAGCATTAAATTCTGGGCTTACTTAGTATATCTCTTCTTATCATCTCGATCAAGTGTTGCCACGTAGCCTTCAAGGTGTTTCTGCAGCTCATTGAAGTTACCCACTGTGTGATCAAATGTCCTGTTGAAACAACAACCGCATGTTGAGTGAACCACAAGGGTAGTGAATGTCTTCCATTTTCACATTACATTTACATTACATTACACACTGCTGGTATTTATGATTTTTGCAAGTATAGGAAGCAAACCTAAGCCAAAAAACTGCTTCATATTTGTTTTACAACATGAAACCAAATTGTAAAACAACAATGTGAAACTACTCACTCTCTGTCGATTACAAGGCACTCCACCCCGTTCTCGTCTGCGATGATATTGGCTGACCTGACATCATCGCTAACAAACATGTGGAGCAGAAACATAAGGTTTGGCACAAATAGACAGACATATTTCTTCACCACCAGCTGTTCAATGGAAATGTAAATACTTTCTGCCTTTTTTCTGTTAAACCCTCAATCATATATATGCAGTACAACAAGCTGTGTGTCCTTAAAAATACCACATAATTCCTGGATAATAAAATCCTTCTAAAATAAAAACATTCAAAAGTCTATCCTCTGCCTATTAGGGATCCAGTGAGGTGATTTAAGGCGGGATCCATTTTGCTTGTGTTGGTCAGACCTCTGGCAGCAGCAGGTTAGATGAGCTACAGCTGCCTTTTTGATTTTTTTTCTACACAGACCTCACATTATAGTAATATTTTTATACCCTGACCCTGCAAACAGCATTAAAGTTTGGCCAGAGTCCCTTACTTCTTAACAAAATAACGCACATTCTCCTCCCCAAAAAAACAATAAAAACAACCTTTGAGAATGTTTTTCTTACTTTATCTCTATCCAATTATCATTATTTGTTTAGTATGTGATTTTTTTTTGTTTTTCAACACTGCATTATATTATTATAAAACAAGTGTGTATGTAGTGGTAGGACTGGACTTAATGTATGTTAGTCCATAGACATGCTCTTGTCCACTTGTACATGTGCTTTACTTTTTCTTTTGAGCATCTTTAGAGTTTAAAAGCCAGGTTCACAATGTTATTTCTAAAAGCCAAGGTGAGAAACTATTTTATTATAAAGTTAGCTTCAGAGTCCAGTTTTAAATCTTCAGTGTTTTCTGTTATTACATATTAGTAAATGTTATATTTATTGAAAACATATTAGATGGAATTGAAAAAAATATATTTTTCGCAAAATCTTTCCCCCTAACAGTCCCCAAGAGGGCTGCACCCCACACTTTGAAAACCACTGATCAAGCCTATTTCAAATACAACACTCCAATTATTCTGAGTCCTATTTAAGCAGAAATGCTGTAATCCTGGTTATACTTTTCAAGCAGCACTAAGCTGATTAATCAATTGACTACAGAGTCTCCCTAATTCAGTATTTAAGTTGGAGGAACCTTTACTCTGTTGTAGTGGTCGAAGTTGTATGTACAAAATAGTTATGCAACCTAACAGAGAGGAGAACCGATTCCCAATTAAAATAAACAAAATGATTAAATAAGTATTTTAAGTTCATCTAGGTCTATTTAAATGCTGACAATAAAAGGGCAACAAAACACAAAACATCATAAATTCCTGACACAACCAAAAACAGAAAACAGCAAAAGATGGGTTTAATGCAGCACATTCTAAGCTGGCATTTCGAAGAAGAGGGAGCTGAGTCTACGTTACCACTAAAGATTTTTTTTACAGGACTACCAAACTCTAAAATAAGATGTTCGATTGAGGAAAGCTCAGTCATGAAACAGGTAGTTAGGACACATTATACCAATATTTTTATTAGAATTTTGGATACACAAACATGAATATAAAGTTGACAGCCATCAGCCTAGATGCTGTTTTGTACTAGGAATATGTAGAAATCTAAGCTAGTTTGTTCATATATATGCTTAACTAAAAGTTGCCAAAGAATGAAGCCTTGATGTACCCCAAGGGATATTTATGTCTGTTTTGAATCATCAACACCAAATAACTCAAAGAAAAGATGCACATGAATGAAACAAATAAAAGTTTCATAAACTTGGACAGATTCAAGTACTTGTTCTTATATGTTTCATATAGTTTCAGAATTTCAGTCCGCAGTGACATGCATCATGGCTTGGAGACAGCCAGTCAACCTAGAGCTCAAACATCAGTGGTTAAAATATTTGCATCTCTAACTCTCACTCTGTCTAATCATCTATTTTACTTTAACATATGTATTTATTGGGAAGAAAAAAAAGTTAGAAAAAAAGTCTAGAACAAAATAAGAATTCATGTTTAAATCTACCACTAGTATTTTATCCAGCTCTGCATTTTATAAAGTCATCTGACCAGAATGACTCATATGAGTGATCTTTTCTTTTTTTAAATTCCTCCAATTTAAATAAAAAAATTTTTTTTTTGTTAAAACGTATCCACATGTGGGCCTTTATGGACTTTGTTTTTATTACATTGCATGTTTACCTTATGAGTGCTTTTTCTCCAAAGTAGTCCCCCTTCTGCAGCGTGTTGATGATCTGAGGCAACTTGTGGGCCTCGTTGATTTGGGTCACATTCACCTGCAGGAAGCACATTTAAGTGTCTAGTTCAGCTTTTTACAGGTGCTTTCTATTTTGTCAGAATATTTTACATGCATTGTAAAAACAGAAAAAGTATGTTAAACCTAGAAAACTGACATATTCAATAACAGTAATTTGACCATGATGGCCTATGCATGATTAAGCGCCACTGATGAACTCTGTATTTTCTCAACATCCTATCCAAATACACACATCAATCTTAGGAGGATTTTGCTCAGAGGAATTTATTTTTTATTTATTTTTTTACTTTGCTTGTTGCTTTTCTAATTGCACTCTGTAAGCACTCCTCAGTAAAAACACTTTAGCAGGCTGGATGTTGTGAAAGTTCTCTATAATTTGGTAGGCTTTAAAAAAAACAGTGGCCCACCCCAGTTGAGGTCAAACAGCCCACTTGTGGCATCGTTACCATTTAAGATATGCCGCAATGACATCACAGACTTAATGGCCTGTGTTTGTTTTAGCTAAGTGTCCCATTTGACCTGAGTGACCCCTCACTTCCCCTGTTTTTCCTGATGGCGGGCACTCTTGGAGTTTATTCCCTCACTGGTCAGAGGGCACCAAGGGGGGTGAGGGAGCCATTTCCTGCATAAGCGCCCTTCCTCCCAAACAACAGACATCTCACCCTAGCTTGGTAAGCTTAGAGTTTAGGGGCTGCTGTTTCACATGGACTTATAATGGCCTTTAAAAAATCCCCTGTGGACAGCTCCAGCCTTTCCAGATTGGTATCAGGTTTCTGACTGATCAGACAGAGGAGGGGAGTGGGTCACGGACCCGATCCTCCCCACACTCTCATACAGTTTGAAGGACAAAACAAGCAGCTCATCTAAGAAGAAAATTAGCTTGAATCATTTCAATCAACTTCTTACTCTTATTTCTGCTTGTTAGGATATATTTCAAACACAGTACACAAATCCATCAGTAATACCATAATAAATTAAGTGGCTATATTTAAAGTGATGCTGCAGCAATTAAAATGATGAATTTGCTGTAACTCTGCCTTCAACATGTCCCTGTTTGTGTATTTATCAAGTACCACTTGCTTCATAGGTCTGTGTTTGCAAAAATAATCAAAAGCAACAAATCAAATATAAATCTGTAAACTAGAAAATCCAATGTTGCTGTATTTTTTTCTTAAGCAAACAGGATAAGAGGCTAGAATAGCTTTAACAGCTCATCGTAGTTTGAAAGATAAAGTAGAATTGAAAACTCTTTTATTCAAACAATCAGCATCCCAGTAAATTGCGCAGAGACACTGATTGACTGATCTTTTATTACTGAGATGAAAAATAGAGGAAAGCAGATTTATAATTTAAAATACGACACATCTCAAAGTTTCCGGGCTGCACGTTGTCACAGTGGGGAACACTGTTGCCTTGAGACAAGAATATTCTGGGTTTGATTCCCCACTCGGGGTCTTTCTGCATGGAGTTTGCCTGTTCGCTCTGTGCATGTGTGTGTTCAATCCAGGTACTCTGGCTTCCTCCCACAGTCTAAAAACATGACTGTTAGGTTAATTGGCTTCTGTGAGGACCATTTTTCCAATTTCAACATCAAATTGAGGACCAGTTGTTGCAAAGTGAGGACATTTTAGCCGGTCCTCAAATGCTATTTTGCTAATGGTTATGTTTAGGGCTAAGGAGTCCATTGGTTAGGGTTAGGGTGAGGTATGCATTTGTAATGGTTTAGGGTTAGTTTTAGGGTTAGGGCATACAAAGGGTTGAAAATGACTAAAATTAAATGGAAGTAAATGGGAGTCAAAACATGGTCCTCACTACCATTGCAGAATGAGTATGAGTGTGTGTGTGCATGCATGGTTGTGTGTCTCTTCATTGGCCTGTGACAGACAGGCGACCTGTCCAGGGTGTACCCTGCCTCTCGCCCATAGACTGCCAGAGAAAATGGATAGATGGATCTCAAAGTTTCCATAAAGTTTAGGTTAAAATGTCTCATGTGTTGAACACTGGTGTCTCTAGGTATTAGTTGTTGGATAATGTGAAACAGTTTACCTTTCCTTGAGCAATGATGTAAAAGGTACTGCCCTCCTCTCCCTGCCGGATGACATATTCTCCTTTGTCATAGTACTCCTGAGGGGAAAGGGGTAGAGAGCAAGGGGGTTATAAAGTTGTCAGAACTACAGCATCTCATTGATTTAACCATTGATTCTGTCATGATAATTCCTGGTAGCTGATCCCCTGTGGGATAGTAACTGGAGCTTAGCCAACAGTGTTGCTGTATCCACATAGCTGCTAACTTAAGGTAATTAGTAACAACAGTAAGTATTTATATCAGCCCATATGAGAGTTATTTGGTGGTGGTCCATTTTGGGGTTGTACAGTAGAGGGACAGAAACATTTGATCAGTTTAAACAAACATGCACCAAAAGGAACAAAAGATCCAAGGTATAAAACATTTCCAGCTGACAACAGAACTAAAATCTTATTCTATTACAGTGATCAATTCACTGCTACCGGTACTAATCGCTGCTACTAATCTCAAACTTGTTCTCTTTTTTACTTCTTAAAATCAGTTAAATTAGCTGCTAAATAAATACAGAGCTCTAAGTAGGGAAGTCCTCAACTATATATTTTAAAGCTGATTACCAACACACAGATTCTTTCAAACCTTAACCAGTCCTTTTAATTCAAGAACAACATTTTGTTAGCTGAGTAGCTAAAAAGGTGAGGATGAAGTTTTGGGGAAAAAATACTCAAAAAAAAGGCATTGGCTTAGACCCTGGATATGCTCTAGATAGGGTTATGACAGACATGTTCACAAGTCATTTTTTGCAAGTCCAAGTCAAGTCT